GCACCAGAGGTCCAAAGTTTTCATTTTGTTGCAAGTTTGATCCACTTTATTCTAAACTTTTTTATAATGACGATTTTACCCTTGTTTTTTTGCTTTTTTAATTTTTTTTATTTATTTAAATACTTTTATCATTAAAAGAAAAATAAAAAAGAAAATACTTCTTTTCTCTCTCCCTCTCTTCAGCCACCACTACACATGTCTCTCTCTTTCTCTCACTCTCTCTCTCTCTCTCGCCTATTTTACCTGATTTTAGTTAACACAGAGAAAACACCACCACCACCATTACTGGCTGATGACACCCACTGCCACCAACCATTCTCGTCGGAGAACACGACCGACCACCATGTCATTCTCGCTGGAAACTCCGCCGGCCATCTCTTCAGCCACAAAGAAAACAGATTGGGGTTACATCGTCGTCCTTGTTCTTTGTACCAACAACAACTAACACCTCTAGGGCTCCAGCTCCCCACCGCTACCGTCCTCCTTCTTTTCCGACTAGATTAGGGTTTCGCCGCCGTCTAGCTTAGTGAAAACCCTAGCCAGATCTATCTCTCTAACCTTCTTTGTGAAAACCCTACACATATCTACAACCCTCGAGTTACAACTTCGCCAGAATGCTTCAGATCTACACCGAAATGGCACCACTGTCTGCTATGAACCATCACCTCCGACGAAAGGGCTCAGACCGGCTATTATTTCCTGAAAATCAAGGGCGTGGACCATCTGTTGTTGCCATTCAAGGGCTCAAACATGTTCGTCACCAGAGGCAATTTCTTCAAATCGAAAACTTTCATGGCAGGCGGAGGTAGATCTAGAGAGGATCACAAATCTTCATGTCGACTTACAGATCTGGAAGCCATCGTCGCCACTGTAAATGGTTTCAAAACTCACCGACAGTTTGCTAAGGAACTCTCATGAGAAGGTGACGTGAAGATGGTGAAGATCGCCTATACTCCGAAGAATGGTTTGCTAAGGAAGATAGGGGTGGCGATCTAGGGTTTATTGAGGAAGATGGCCGCCTCTCTTAACGTTTTTTCCAGGTCTTGGGGGTCGTGGCGTTCTGAATATCAAGCGATGGCGTCGATTTCCGATGATAACGACGATTTCCGGCGGTGGCACCGGTGGTTTCCAGTGTGTGAGAGAGAGAGAGAGAGAGAAAAAAAAGGAAGTATTTTCTTTTTTATTTTTCTTTTAAGGGAAATCTCCATTTTAGTCCTATTATTTTGCCCGCGTTTACGAAAAAGTCCTAAACTATTAAATGTTAACGGAAAAACATGAAATACTGGATAAACCGGCGAATTGACCCAGTTTACCCGGTTACCACTCTTGCAACCGGTGATAAACCGATGTGGAATTAAATGAGATTAGGTGGAAGGTGAGTCAACCAAATCACACAACCATTCCTTCAACGGTAGATCACACACAGTTATGATAAGAAATTAGGGCTTTTTACGTGCGAAGAAGACGACAACTGTGGGCACGAGTTCAAGTCTTCCAAGCTTTGCTAATGGAAGACATCTGGGATTTTGATACTATTGATGTTGAAGTAGACAAGGATTTGAAGAAGCAAACCAAGAGATGCAATGATGCGTTCTTGAACAGCTTGTGTCCCGACATAGCTGGTTTATCCGGTATTTCATGCTTTTCCGTTAACATTTAATAGTTTAGGACTTTTTCGTAAACGCGGGCAAAATAATAGGACTAAAATGGAGATTTCCCTTCTTTTAATGATAAAAGTATTTAAATAAATAAATAAAATTGAAAAAGCAAAAAACAAGGGTAAAATCGCCATTATAAAAAAGTTTAGAGTAAAGTGGACCAAACTTGCAATAAAATGAAAACTTTGGACCTCTGGTGCTAGTCCAAACTTTTTTGGACCAAAGTAGCAATTTTCGACATACCACAGGGACCATTTGTGCAGTTTTGTCTTATAATAATCACTTAATATTACAATCTACAGAAATAATAAAATTGGGTGTTACAATTAGCACGATGATTTGTTTAACGAATTAGATGAAGATTTGGATATGTTCGACGAGGACTCGGGCAACGATTCGAATGACGATGACGAGGAGGACGATTTCGAGTGACATATTTTGTTTTTGTTTTTTTAAATTCGGATATTATGTAATTCTTAATTATGTTTTCTGGGTCGTTTTTTTTAATCTAGGTTGTGTTTTTTTAATATTTTTTGTTTTCTAGGTTTTTCTAATCTTAATTGTTTTTTATGTATCTTTTTTTTAAGTAATGAAGTATTTTTATTTTAATTAGTTTGTGTTTATTAATCATTTGTAAAAAATTATATTTATTTTTTGAATTATAAATATTAAAAATCAACTATTTAATTTTAAAAAAATAATAATAATAATATAGATAGTGAAAGGTGACTATTTCCTGTCTTTTGGTGAGTGAAATGAGAGCGATAGGAAAACTGACGTAACACTCAAAAAGTAAAAGGTGAAAGGTGATCATACCCTCGGGTCTTATAAAAAAACTATTGTTATTAACATAGTTATCTATATGTCTTTATAATAAAATGGTTAATTTGGTTATAACTATTACTGTTAATATTGCTTCTTTAATGAAAAGAAACAGCTATCAGTTGTTAGAATTATAAGTCCAAACTTTTTTTTAAAACGAAGCATTACATCAACTGGATTATATCCAATTGATCGGAACAACGTTCTTAGTTCTAATCTTGATTAATTCAATTAAAAGCCAAAAGTTTCCTCTCATTCGTCATGACTTCTTTTCATCGAGTTGTTACTGTATTTCAAAATAACTCAAACCATGACCATGAGTACCACCAAATCACCTTTTTAATTTTTTTATGAGTGTACATTGCTCTTTCAATAAAAATTAAAACGACTATGTTATAAATAAAAATTATTGCAATTGTATGGGTGAAGAACTTTTTGGTACTTGGTGAAGGCCTGCATAAAGCTCACATATTCAATCGGAAAATATAAAATACATGTCAAAATGTTATAAAAAAATTTAAAAATAAAAGTTTAATATAAACAAAACAGTTTTTAAGGTTCAGTTTGGCTTTCTTGAATCTTAGTAGCTTTAATATTATCCCACATCCAACAATTATGTTGATTGTTGAATACAAAACTATTTAGAATTAATATTATTTTTACTGTAGTGTGTCCTAAAATAAAGTGTATGATAATCATATATAAACAAATTATATATGATTCAACATCCAAAGAGATGGATAGATATTAGTGAATGATTCAAATGAGACCACTTTTTTTGTGAGACCCAAGTACTCATTGCTACATTTTCAAAAAGAAAACGCACTCATTTTTTGGGGTCAATTTTTTTTTTTTAAATGATAAGAGAAAATCATAAGGCATCAATTTTTCTTTCTAAAAATAAAAAAGATAAAATAAAGAAAATAAAAAATAACATATCTGATTACGTAATTGTTCATCAATACAACTTGTAATAGAAGATTTTGAAACTTTGCATTACATTTATGAATAAATTCCTATTAAGATATCTAACTTGAACATTTTTTTCCCTTGTTTTCCTTAATGTTAAAAGTAACGAAAATCAATACTCTATAACTTTTATTTTCATTTTTTGTTTTATTTTTATCGTTATGGACTCCTAAAACGCATGGCTATAAATGGATCATTGAACGAATCACATATGCACCTCTACCTATACTTTCAACGAAAATGCATGTTTACCCGTTGAAAGTTGTTGCTATTTAATAAGTAGACAAAATTGCAAGAATGGTCCCTATGGTATGTCAAAACTAGCAACTTTGGTCCAAAATAGGTTTGGATCGCAAGGATGGTCCAATAGTTTCATTTTGTTGCGAGTTTAGTCCAAAAAAATTTAAAAAAATTATAATGACGGATTTGCCCTTGGTTTTTTTCCCTTTTTCAATTTTTTTTATTACAGAAATCAAAAAAAAGAAAAAGAAAAAAAAAAGAAAATCTCTCTCTCTCTCTCTCTCTCTCTCTCTCTCTCTCTCTCTCTCTCTCTCCCTCCCCTCGACCTCCCTTTCATCTCCAACTCGTCTATCTCCCTCGTTTCTCACTTCTCCGGCGAAGAGAGCCACCACAGTCGACTATGGCAGCTCCTCCGCCTCCCCCTGTCGTGACCCACCACCATCCAACATCCCAAATTCAAATCCACAATGGGTGTTCTTCGTTCTTGATTTTGGATCTGAAATAAAACACAAACAAATTTAACACATGTCTGGAAGTGGATTTGCAAAACAAAGAACCTTCACTTTTATCGATTTTGTTCAATTTATTAGATTAAGTTTACAAATGTTCCAGACTCTAAACACACACATACACAGTTACACATACATCAAGATTAATTTGATTTAAACAACGGAAACAAAGCTCAATCTCATTAGCTGTGAATTCGATTAGAACTAAAACATACACACACAAATATGAATATGAATCTCAAGAACACTCATTTTTCCTGAGTTCAAGAACAAGAACATCACATTCACAAACCCATAAATCATTCACAAACCCATAAATCATTTTTCCTGATCATATGAACTGCCCTTCACCACCACCTGAATCGACATCAAGAAATATTTCAAACAAACCCAACAACAACAATCTAGATAGAAGAAGAAGAAGGAAAGAAACATAACAAACACAACAATAACAAATCTCAACCCTAGATCACAATTTCAGTTGTTTTCTGCGGTACATTCACTCAAGATAGCCACTGGACGAACAAAGTTGGGGATTTCCGACCCTCTTAGAACGAAAAAGCTTAGGAGAGAGATGAACAGTCAATGAAATCCATAAGGAGAGTTATGGCTCTAGAAACCGCCGCCTGAAGCATAACCACCACCACCTGAAGTCGGTAGAGGGATTTGAAGAGACACAGGAGAAGACGAAAAGAGACAGAAACGTAGATCGGATATCGGAGCTACAACCCTTCATAAACGTAGATCGAACAAATATGACGCCATCAGAAAACCCTTCGTCGGAGAAGGCGGAGGGACGTCTCTAGTGGTGGACAGCGCCATCGTCTTCGTCGGATGAACAAATCTGGATTTCACCTTGATCGTTTAGGAAAGCTTCGATAGAGATGACAGATTTGAGGGTAATGAGTGCTTGGTGGTCAACTGAGAAGACAGAGATGGCAGATTTGAGGGTAAGAGACGTGCCTCCGGTGGATGTGCAATTTTCCGGTGAATAAAGATTGAGCACATCTGAGAGAAAATGGAAGTGTGGGAAGAAGATGAATAGGTCGATTCTTGGAGAGAGAGAGAGAGAGAGAGAGAGAGAGAGAGAGAGAGGTATTTTATTTTTGTTATATTTTTAATTGTTTTTTAATTACATGTAATAAAACAAAAATGAAAAATTAAACAATAAGGGCAAAATCGTCTTTACAAAAAATTTCAAACCAAATTGGACCAAACTTGCAAGGAAATGAAACTATTGGACCATCTTGCGAGCCAAACCCATTTTGGACCAAAATTGCTAGTTTTGACATACCACAGGGACCATTCTTGCAATTTTGTCTAATAAGTAATCCTTGAAGAAAAAATTAAAAAAATAATAAAACTAATACAATTATACGAAGGCATGATTTCTTTTTCCACTTTCCATTACTCGGGAACATTTATCAGATTCTTTAGAAGAAAAAAAAAAGGACAGTTTTTCATGTTTGAAGTCCTTTGTTAAACGCCAAAATAAATATCAAAAACATGTATACAAGTAATTTTTAAACAAATAAAAAAAAAGCTGAAAAATCTCATTTATATTGTCCTCAGCTCAGATGATATACAACAGCTATTTACGATACCATCAATTCCAATACGTATAAATATCAGATGACCGGAGTATTACTATTATCCGGTCGTCTGATATCAGTAGTCATCTGTATTTGTAGGGCAAGAAATGAAATTTAGTGAAAAACTTGAGGTGAAGCGTAATACTCGCTTTCTTTAAACATGGGCCGTAGATCTTCTTTGCACATAAAATCGGTTGGAAAAGAAACCAAATGTCCCTTCACACCTTCTAATCTATCCATTGGATCAATTCCCTTCACACTTCCATCTTCATATAATTCAATACTCTTTGGGGCTATTCCTAAATCAATCGTAGTATGACCCAATTTTGCCTTTCTCTCACTCACACATTGCCTCAATGATGCTCTGCAAATATAAAATAGCAACCTACTTTAACTTCTTTCTATTATTATTAAAGTGCAATGATGTAATACAAATTAAGAAACGGATATTTACCTGGAATGAATAAGATCGTTTGGAATGCAAGAGAAGACATTTTGGTAGATCGTAGTATTCGTCTGTCCAAAACAAACATAATGATTAGATTGGTACAAAAGACGTAAATGCCCCTAGAAAGATTAGATTAGATTAAAGATCTAATAGGTTATACCTTTGCAGTTGCCATCCATATATCTTTGTAAGTCGAATCAATCACGGGGTCAGCTATTTTATTAATCTGAGAAATGAAAATTTAAATTAAATTAATTAAGCATATATGATTTAAATTTTAAATTTTAAATTATATAAGTTATACCTCTGAAGTATGAAGACCGAGGTGTTCAGACCATAGTGAAAGGCGAAGACTCAAGGCAAATTTTCCAGCCTTCCATGGCTTGCCTCCCATGGAAGATTCAACTACTTCTTTATCTTCAATAAGTACTCCAATCTGAGGAAAAAAGTTTTTTTTTTTTTTTAATATAAATTATAAAGTTGTGAAAGAAGATAAAAAAAAAAAATACCTCGGAATCACGTAATCCGAGCAAACTTCTGTCATTTATGTTAGCGGATCCAACTAAGACTGTGTTATCATCAACTATCATAACCTTGCTATGCACATATACCTACAAAACAATTTTATTTTCATTATAATATAATCTTTTAATGAGGTTTTATGATATTTAGGGATAAGTAAAGTAACTTACTGGACTGGAGGCAACAATACCATCATGAGAAAGTCTACCATGAGCTCTAAGACCATAGAAAGATATGTAGTCATGAACTCTAGGGCCAAGAACATCAGAGAGATTATGTAAAATAGAACTGTTTCCTCTTGATATTGTTCGATACTGCCAATGCATAATGGCTCTTACAGATGCTGCACCCACATCATCAAGCCCACCCTGGAACCCAGGTAAGAGTGGAATGACGATAATAACCCTAAAAAATTGTTTTTCGTTATATGCCTTCAAGATACGCCTGTATAAGGATTCCAACACACGGTTTCGTATTATCTCGTCTCCAGAAAGACCTGAGATGAAGAATTGATTCTGGAAACAAAGTTGTATTTAATAAAATTAGCCAAAATTAACAAAATTCAAAAAAAAACCAAAAGTTATGATGTATACCTCGATGTAGATGAAGTGTTCAGCTTTTTCAATAAGAGAACAGTAAGCTTTGTGAATGCTCTCTTCCACTTGACTTGTTCCAGCTGACCATTGACTCACACTCCTTAAAACCTAAAATTTAGAAATGTACAAATTTAAAAATGTAATCTAACAATATATTTTAATCATAAATAATAAAAAAATTACCTGACAGCGACAAGCAACACAAGGACCAACTTGACCTGTTTCATCAGCAGAAACAACCAAGTTACCACGCTCCTGAGTCTCCCACCATTCTTTATCAGAAGGTTTCATCATGCCACGTGGTGGTGCCACATCAGCAAACAAATCTTTCTCAACATTCAAACTAAAACTAGCTCCCTCATCCACAAAATCTCTCATTGGCATATCTGGAACTGAAGTTTCAGCTTTTGGTTTCATGAAAGAGAAAGAAGTCCTAGAAGGCCTACTACTACTACTGCGTTGACCTTGACCATGATAATTTGTTGACCCATTTGGTAGTCCATTAGAAGCTTCTAGACCATCAGCCTCTTGAGGGATTAGCAACGGGATGTCTTCAGAAGATGCAGAAGAAGACGAATCATCTTGGTTTATTACTTTATGATTTTCTAGAATTGTGGAGTTTTCATCTTCTAAATCTATGTTGTTGCCCATGTAATGTGGGATCACCATGTGCTGCTGTGGCATAAGTAGTGGAATACCTTGCTCATTTGGAGCTTTATTTCTCTGAAAGAATTATTATCCATGTCAGCAAGAAATAGCAATGTAGTTTCATTGTTCTTTTTATAGTTAACAATTATAGCATCTTACTTTCATTGCTATTTCTTTGCATTTAACACAGTCAACATATAATATAAATTAAACAAATCCATACATACCTTTGCATAATTCCATCTCTGAACAAAGTGGCGAGCAACATCACGACATGGTGGGCCCCACAAGGCACAATGGACATCATGCCATGGCATACGAGGATAATTTTTACGATCAAGCTCATCCTTCATTGTATCTTCCCATGAATTTGGTTCAGATTCCCTGTAAATTCCAGATAAAAAATGAGGCTGCTGCTATGATATGGTGAAAAAAACATTAAATTACTATGATTTACCGAGGGTTATAATAGTCTTTTCCAGGCCAAAGCGTAGCAGGGTCATCACCGACTTTGTGGTCATGTGAGTCATAACGACCAAAGCAAAGATCAAGTCCACCAATGAAGCAAATATCATTATCAACAATGACCAGTTTCTCATGGTGGGACCTATTTTATTTGTTACACAAAAAAAGAAAGATTAATTAGAAAATTAACGGAATTGGTCTTAAAGATCATAAGAATCCAGAAACAAAACATAAACAGGAAAACATAAGTACACCTAGATAGGTTGCAACTATACATTTATGGGTAACATGTGTGCGACATTAATTCCAGAAAAAAGAAGGGGTAAAACGGTCATTTACCATAGATATACACCGCTAGAGAAATGGTCTGGAAAACGTAAAACTCTAACATTTTCATGGATAGCAACCAGTTTTTTCTTGCTATAGACACTATTAATTTTCAGGGCAAGTGCAAGCTCTTTGTACATGAGAATGTAAATCTGCAATCAAGGATTTTAGATATATCAACAAAACATGTTAGGTAAAATAGGTAGTTCACATTATTGATGAACTTCATTATAACTTAACAAAAAAATTAAAAATAAAAAACTACCTGAACACCTTGCTTGGCTTTAGCCTCCAGCAAAGCATCAAGGCGAGAGGAGGCATGGGCTTGAAAAGGACGCCGCAAATACAGTTCTGGACACAGCCACCAACCACACATAAATATCTGCATTATTAAACTCATAACAATCTTACCATTCTTTCAAATTAAAAAATTAAAAAAAAAAAAAAAAATCAATATTATAAAGTCATGTAAATAAATAAATAAATAAATAAAAACCTCCGATTTTGCGCCTTCGATTGCTAAAGCAATTGCTTCAAAAGCTGCACGACCATCAACAAACCACTGAGCCTGACTTCCATCATCAGTCAGCCCACGTGGTGGAGCAAATGAACCGAATCTATGAGGGTAACACCAACCCTCAGGTGGCCTTAATCCAGCATCATTAACTGCAGTAACCCAATCCCTTACTTTACCTTTGTTTCTACTTCTTATTGTTATGCTTCTGTTTCCACATGATACCTGTTTTCATCATCATCAACACATTAGTATTCACAAAGGCTTCAAGCATCATCAATCTATGTTATACTTATACTTACCATAAATGAATGTCGTAAAGGATTATGTTCATTGATTTCTTTAGCTAATGAAACTCGACCTTCTCCATTTCCATCTGAAGGGGGAAGAACATCAAACACAATTATGTCCAATGGCTCTGAGTCAAACGGGTCTTTTAGCAGGGCTAAGAATCCAGGCTTTAATACAGCCCATACCTGTATAAAATATTAAAATTTAATACCACTATCAAATACATACATGGATTATAAAAGGTAATATGAAAGAGTGAAATAGTAAAATACCTTTTGCCAATTGTCATTGCAGCAACTAAACCAAAAACAAGTGGAGCATTTTCTTTCATCATCCCTGTTTGAGATTTTTGGTAAATGCTTCACTAATACATATTCTTCTTTTAACTTGGATCCATACTCTGGACAAAATGATAACTTTGAAGCTCCCATAAACTTGCATACCTGTTTTCAACAGAATTTATGTAAGAAAGATGAATATGATTCAAGTTTCCAATATAAAATATAAGATTATAAGTTAAAGTTACCTCTCTGGAATTGACAATGTCCAAGTTTCCAAGAAAATGATTCAGGTATTCCTGCATTGCTGTCTTTGCTCTATCTGACATGGAATGTTGTCTTCCAAGAGCTGGGCGTATCATTGGTAGGGCTGCACTTGAAGGAACATCTCTGAACAAAAAATCACCTGTAAGAACTATAATCATTATAGCCATGAACAAATATCCCCACTCATCCTTCCAGTATTAGGTACTTAGTAATCACCTTTTTCTAACACTTCCCTCATTGTTTGATGTCATTACATTATCATCAGGATCATCATCATCATCATCATGCACAACTGCAGGGTGGTCACCTATTCCTAGGTTTTGAAGCCATTCTTTAACCTTCAAAAGAAAGATTGTCAGTCTTGATAAATCGGTTGTAATCTAAGTGATGGAAATATAAATAAGAATGAATGAAGCTAGGTAAACCTGTTCTTGTTTCTCCTGAATTTCCTCAATAATGGCACGTTTCTTTAATGCAAAGTGTAAATAAAATACATGTGAAGCTTTCTTTACTAACTGCCACTTGAACTGCAGTCCAGGGTATACAAAAACAGAGTGAATCAGTGAAAAGCAAATCGGGTAATGAATCTCATAATAGGCAATTCTTCATTCAACTATGAATTCTTGTTCGATTGTTCAACTAGTCTTTAAAATCTCACTATAGGCAAATCTTCATTTAATTGTGCAATGTGATTGAAACTTGCAAATTGCAATCGCAATTTTCAAATTTCAATCACAAAAACTAAATAGAATGATATACAAAAAGCAATAGATTACATAAGAAACGTGATCAAGAAGACTTGATAACAGTTTCTTATTTAACTTGTTTATTAAGCAAAGTGATGCAAGTCAATCTTCTTCGATCTTCCTTTGTATTGTTTGTCCAACAAAGTGTTTGATCATACATGAAATTGATAGAGGGCTCCTTGTTGAATATTATGCGTAACTACATGACTATATCAAACCTAACAACAATTACAGCAGTATATACATATTCGTAATTAACTGTTCAACAAGTTTATATCAATTCGCCTCGCAATTTAAAATTACCTAGCGAACATATATACTCCATGAATTCTGATCAATCGCCAGTTTAATTAAACCACACACATGATAATTCAGAAACAGTCTGCGATTTAAAGAAAAATACCTGTTTGTACTGGAAGTCAATAGTGTAAGAAAGAAGCATGGGACTGATATCACCGGCGTCTGGACGAGAGACATGTACAATTGTGGCCTTGGGCAACTCATCGAAAATTCGAGTTCCCTCAGGCGGATTTTGATGAAACGAGAAAAACGATGACAACCTCGACGGCTCCGATTGCATTTGGACGTAATGGGATCCACTCCCTCCGCCGGGCATCAACTGCTCTGATTCCATTCTTTCACTCAATTCCGATCAAAATCTATAGAAAAATAATCAATTAAATTTCTGTACCCGTATAGATTTGTGCATATATCTATATATACCTACGTGTATCAACTGTCGTCTTAGATCGAAAAAGCAGACGAAATTGATGTATTCAATTTTTTTGGAAGAGAGAGAGAAAGGTAGATTTAGTAGGTGATGTACCAAATCTGCTAACTCCATTTTCGGAATTCGGGTGTATCATGTATGCGGCAAATAGTCGGGTCGGGTCGGGTCGGGTCGTGCTTGGCTTTGTGCTCCACGGTTTTTTTCCCTTTTTTTAAAACTTAAGTTTGATTCGTTTATAATGTGAAAAACAATGTGAGAATTATGTTTTTTTTATTAAGAAAGTGATAAAGATTTATTGCAGTATATTAATTATTTCAAGAAGTAAAAAAACGATCAACATATGATTTTGACAATCAACAAAACCCATTTTAAATCTCATTTAATCAAAATTTATTTTTGACTCCTTACAAATTTGAGTAAATCTATCCACATTACCACATGTACTCTTAAATCTTAATATAAAAAAAGAAAAAAAAAATCTTATCGATAATGATAATTCATGATAATTGATAGCTACGAATCCAATAAGTCTTATTCTTCTCGCAGGAAAAACCTAAATTCAAAAACAAAATAAATAATCTTTTTGTCTCTCGATATGTACATGGAAATCATGAAAAAAAAAGAAGTAATATATATAATTATATACTATAAGGTAGGGAAGGGAAGTAAAAAGTGTTGGGAGCAATTTTATGAAAATAGGGTCCATGTACATAAAATCAAGAGTAGGGCCCGATTCCAACAAGAGTCCTAATTGATTTTGTGAACTTCAGCCATTGCGATTCCTAATTTCCTACACGCAGCCAACAGCTGGGATATGTCAATCACGTGCCCCGACTATAGTTTGACCATTAACGACATCATCTAGGCTCTAGCCGTCGAACCATTGACCTTTTTCATAATAGTAACTCAATTTTCTCCTTTAATGCAATCTTCGGGTAGGTCAATGGATGGATTAAAACGATTGTTAACTAGGTGGGAGTCATTTCTTTCCAACTCATTCAACTTCATATCAGTTTTTCTCTTTTATTTTTCTTCATCTTTTTCAACCCACAACACATGGAAACCTATCTTTTTCAACTCACTCAACCTATTCAATTAAAAAAAATACAAAATCATCAAGGTAAAATCTTAATTAGCAATTGAGTTACCGCCGGTACCACTCCCTCTTCAGCGGATTGTTTAATTGGTTTCGCTAACCCACTTCATATCTCTATCTACTTTCTCTTTCTCATTTTCTCTTGTACCATGTGTTTTAAGATTTGTATCTTAGTTGTTTTGTATTTTTTTTTAATTGGGTGGGTTGAAAAAGATATGATTTTCGTGTGTTGTTGGTTGAGAAATATTTAAAAAAAAAAGAGAGACAAAAACTAATATGACAGTGGTTCCCCTCCTCCCTTAGAAATATATTAGATTAGTGAGTAAAATTATGGGTTTTCGTCTCTAACTTTTATTTTACATTCGAACCATCCTGATAATATGTTTATGTTGTGGATTTGGTCCATGATATACCTAAACATACTAAATTGCCCTTATTAATTCTTTTCTATAGTTAATTTATTGTTTTTTACTATTTATAAAATAAAAAAGTAATATGTTTATGCCCCACCCCTCACTTTATCTCCTAACCTTCAACTAGATCATCTTCATCATGTCTTTACAGCCACCACATTCTCCAATGGAAAGCCCTTCATCAGAACCATCAGTCACTGTTGTTTTCTCCGACAAACCCATAATTCTAGTAAAACCCTAGAATCCAAGCCTTAGGTCATCCACAATCGATCCACCTCTTGTCCCCTAACCCCCACTTGCATCTAGTTTCATCTCCTTGTGTTCCATCTATTCCATTCTTCACCGTCTCCATTTTTTTGTTTTTGGTTTCAAAAGCAGATTGAGTGGTCGTTGGAAGAGTGTTAACACGCTGTCGCGCACGTATTAAACAAATAAATTTATCACTGCTGGTTGCACTAAAAATATAGCACAGGTAAGCAGGGTCGAATCCTCAGGGACACAGCCTAAAAGACAATGTCTTTTTGCATCAGGCACATCTAGTCAAGAAACATAATATAAAAGGGGGGTTTTGATTAAAACTAATAACTAGAAATGCAGTGATAATAAAGTAAACGAAAATCAATAATAAAAATGGTTTCAGCTCTACTGTGACTTTCTTAATCATGCAACTGATCCAGATCTGATTATTTGAGATGCGTTCTATTTAAGCTGGTACTGAGAAAAACTAACAAGCTCTAGTAATTTCTCTTTTACCTTATTTAGTTAACCAAAACAAGCTCTTCAATTAACCCTAACTTTTTAATATCTAATCAAACAAGCTCTTAATTAAATCAGAAAAGTTGCATTAAGTTCTTTGTAAAATTCTCAGCAATACCCAATACTTCTCACAAGCTCGGAAGCGTAAAGATATGATTTTTACAGTTTATAATAAAGTCAAATCCCAAACACGGAACCAATTTATTACTTGTTACTTATTACCAATTAATTAGAACAATTACGGATTCTATTAACTGATTAACTGGAATGATAAAACCCTAGCTAGGTGATCAGACTAACAAGAATTCAAATCAAACATTCATTAAGCTCAAAACTGAAGAATCTAGATAGAAACACAAATCAAAAACCAGATCTAATGATCAATCACATGAAAAGTACTTGTCTTTGCAAAACTGAAAACTAGGGTTTAGCCAGACATGGCGAAAATCTGATCTAAAACAATAAAAAGAAACATTAAACTACTAAATCTTACTAAACTAAACGTAGGAGATGATCCACAGTCTTCAGATCTTCAGAAATCGTTGAAATCGGAGAAGAAACACCTCCAAAATCGTATTATCGTCGTCTGGAACCTCTGGAATCGCCAACTTAGGTTACAGGAATGCTATCAGAGTCTATTTATGTTGGATTAGTGTCTAAGTCCATAACTATTTTGGTATGTACTTGATCCGATGGTGCATGGTCCTTTTGGGTTGCCTTCACCAAAGCAACTTGATAGGATGAATTATGGAGAGAAAGGATTAATTATGATTTATTAATATATTATGAGAATAATATATTAAAGGAGAAATCATATTGTTTAATTAATATTATTCAAGAATTAATTGATAATTAATTTTGTGGCTAAAAGAGATTAATTAAACTTAAGGGGCTGGAACTGTAATTATAAGATAATTGCATTTGGGCTATGGATCACCTTGGAATAATAGGTTGGACGAATTCTATGGGGAAACCCATTAAAAATCGTCCAAGGGTTATATTAAAAGGGTCAATGGGCTGCTTAGGGCTTAAGCAGTCAGATTAGGGTTTCCTAGTTTAAAACCCTAATAGCCTACATGTATATATAGCACCCTTAAGCCCCAAAAACGTGGCTAAGAGTTCCTCTAGGGTTTTGGACGTTTTTGGGCAGCCTCCACTCTTCTCATTCTTCATCCTTTTTCTCTTGGTGTTTGTGAGCCATTAAAGGAGTGACATTTGTGACTTTAAGCTTTCTAAAGCCATTACAAGGAGGATTTGAGATTGTTATTGCTACATAACAATCAAGGTATGATCTAAACCCTAATTCATATGTTAATATTGATTATCACATGCTAGATCTAGGGTTTATAGTCTTGGATGAATGCATGTACAATAGAGAAACCTAGATCCAAGTATTAGGGTTTGCATGAGCACATAGGATGTTCTTATGGCTTAAACCCATCAATTTATACGTCCAGCAGCAAAAACGGCGCACCTGCGATCGCATGTACACAACCTGCGATCGCAGGTTTTGAAATAAACACGTCTGGTGCCTTTTTAATGAAGTAGGATGCTATTTTGACACTTTTTGGCCAACCTGCGATCGCATGTACACAACCTGCGATCGCAGGTATTGAGTTTTCACTCCCGGATGAATTTTGGGCACAAAAGAACCTCGAAGGCAACCTGCGACCAAACCTGCGATCGCAAGGAGACAACCTGCGATCGCATGTTGTGCCTATGACGTACGAAATTTTGTCTACTTTTCAGATCATTTTGAGTCGCATCAATCGGAGTTACGGTTCTCGAGATATGGTCAAAATACTGACAGGGGGTCAAAGCTGTCAGCAACATCCTTTAACTTTCGATTGCATATTCTATTTTTGTGTGATCAATTCAATCGAATGTTTCTTGACCAAAGCATCTTCCAAACATTCCTCATAATCCTTCATAAGTCCCAAGCTCCATTTTAAGCTCCAAACGCGCATCCAACTGCTCCCAAAGCACTGCTCCACTCGAACTATCTGAAATTGACATAAAAACATGAGCAGTACGGGAATTCTAACGAAAGACATGAGCTGAACATTGTTTAAACAAATGACATGCAAATGTACAAAATATTATCCTAAATGCTAATGAAAACTACCATATAAGATGCATAAAACGGCATCTAACAAATCTCCCCAAGCTTAAACCTTACTTATCCTCAAGTAAGAAGAAGATAAAACATTATAAACAAATGGACATATGTAGATGACATAAAAAGGAACTTAGAATAAAAACTAAAACAAGATTAAGGAAACTAAAAATTTAAACTTTATCAAAACACCTCACTCTTTTTTTTTTTTTGTTCACATGATTAGATTTCATAACGAGGAAGCTCCAATGAAATCACTACCTAGATAACAGTCTCAATACTTTATATTAATGATTCGTATTTCATATTTAATAAGTCAAACCAAGCTTGAGCAAATAATTTTTTTACGCCGAATTAAATTTGTGAAAACAGTGTATTTTTTTAAAAAATAATTTCACGAAAATTCGTTTATAAAAACTTAGCTTGACCAACCCCTCCTTTTTTTCTGAACTCGTCCAGTAAACGCGGTAAACTCCATTATGGACAGAAAATCCAAGCTTACCTCTATGATTCCACTATCGAGGGATCAATCTCATTATACCACACATCTTCTTTGTCTCGATAAACTCTTCATATTTAACTTGCTTGCTTCTTGATTTCGGCTTGAACTTGACTTGGATTTGACTTTGAATTGCAGATTTCTTCAAGTTTCTTGATGTACTATTTCTAACATATATATATTGATCAGGCACGGATTTTATTTTGAGGCCCACTATATCTTCAAT